GAAGGGGCACGTCAGTCATCGGGCTCTTTCTTTTAGCATCGTTAGCAGTTACAGCACAAAAGGCAAATGAACAGAAAGAGGCATTCAGCTGGGGTTAGCTGAGTCTTAGTCTTTTGTCTGGAAAATCCTTAACTTCCCCATTGAAGTCTGGAGTAACAAATTAAAAACTTTTGTCTGCTTGCCCCTCCAAATCAGTGCGTGTCAGCAACACTTTGAGCTTGGATAAAGGCAAAGAGAGTTGTGGGCTGGGTTTACTATTCATTAAGGTAAATTCATTTACTCTTCTTTATACAGGGTTGAAAAGTGCTGCCTGCTACGACAACAGTGCTCGGGGCATGGGCCTAGAGAGAGGGAGGCTGGAGAAACAATGCTGCCATGTTCTGCTCTGGGAATGCCTTTGAGCCTTGTGTGGAAAGCAGGGAGCTATGAAAATCATCAGTGGGCTGGGCTGTTCAGGAGCCTTGAAGTCAGACTTTAGAGTTTCATAAGCAGCAGAGTCTCTTTTTCAATCAGTGCTTTTATGACTGGGGAAACAGTGCTTGGTAGAACAGAGCTCTTATTTCTCTTGGCTTTCCTGACACTTGCTCTGATTGAATGTCTGTTTCTTTCACTCCTGTCAGGATAAAATCTTTTCTTTTTGGCAGATTTCCCTTGTTGGAATTCACTTCTGCAATTGATATGTTAACAGTGCAGGGCTGTGTATTGATTTTGTAAAACCTTTTACTTAAAATGCCAGGATAGTAATTTACTTTGCTTGTCATTGGATCCCCTTTTGCTCAAGCACTGACTGCACTTCTTTAGCTGTGGATGTGAAATAAGCCTCATTGAAATTTGGCCAGATCTGAGCTGTAACATTAGTTGTACAATGTGTTAGTACCCAAAACCCATCATTTGGGAAGTTTCCATACCTTTCCTCCATAATGTGCTGTTACACATGTTCACTACATTAACACATGTACCTTTGAGGGGTGGAAATGTTCTCCAGGAGACCCACAACCTGTGACTGTCGAATGAATTCACTTTTGAACTCATTTTGTGTAAAAGGGAGTCTTATAACCATTTATCAGCTTGAAAGGAATTCCTTAACCATTATGGAAAACAGCCACCTACAATTATCACTCAGTAATTTAAAATGCCAGTTGCTTTCCTTTCTGACACAGAAAGTATATGTCTATGCATGCAGCAAAGGTATTTAATAATCACATGCTGCATTAACAGGATAGGAAAATTAATCCTATCCAATATAAAAGTATAAATATCATTAGCTGAATCGAGATGAACGTGACGTTCCCGGTGAGTGAGTCTATTTTTGGGAAATCATGGGGTTGGAATAAGATTAAAATAAAAAAGAGGTGACACTTGGCTCTTCTTGCTAACTGTAAAATATTCCCTCTTCCATGGAGAGGTTGCAGCTTGTTCTTTTCATAAAACCTCTGGTTTAGCTTCCCTATAATTTCAGCCTGAGAAACTCCAGCTAAACTTTGGGGCTGAAGCAGATCATCTGACTACAAGCAGTGTAGTGACAGGACAAGGGAGGATGGACTCAAACTAAAGGAGAGCAGGTCTAGATTGGATATTAGGAATAAATTCCTCCCTGGGAGGGTGGGGAGGCCCTGGCACAGGTTGCCCAGAGAAGCTGTGGCTGCCCCTGGATCCCTGGAAGTGTCCAAGGCCAGGTTGGACGGGGCTTGGAGCAACCTGGAATAGTGGGAGGTGTCCCTGCCCATGGCAGGGGGTGGAACCAGATGATCTTTAGGGTTCTTTCCAACCCAAACCATCCCAGATTCTGTGATTCTGTGACACAGACGTTGCCTGTTTTTGCAAGTTTACAAAACAGCTCGTTTGAAGCAGTGGCTTGTTCCACCCTTACAAACCCCCTGAGCTCCAGGACTGTTCAGACTTTTCATGAGGTAAAAATCTCTCAGTTGGACATAGCCAAAGCTGTTGTTAATCTCATGGAATATTTTAGAAGTCAATCTGTTCCTTCTGTTGTCGGTGTATTTTTACTCCGATTTAAATAGACACAGAACAAAACACTTGTGGTCTGTGTGTTTAATGGTCTGTGTGTTTAAAGATCCTGCCTGGGCTCTTTTGTTCCTACCAAAGCTGCTGATGGCAGCCCAAATATCCTTTTGCAGTTCCTGTAGCCATCATAAATCTTCCTGCTAATGACCAAGTGTGTTCTTCCGAGCTGTTTATTTAATAAGGATCAATGGTGTTTGCATCTGAAACCATCGCGCCATTACGGTTTCGAGCTCCTCCGTAACTTTGCACAAGGAAAACACGCTTTGCAAAAGCTTTGATTATGGCAGCCAGGCTTGGAGATCTCCCCTTGGAGGTTTTCTCTCCCCAGCTGAAAGCACTGTGTGTTTGACTCCTGAGTGCACAGTGGCATTTGGCTGCCGAGGCAGGCAGAGCCAGGGAGCCCATTACAGCGCGCGGTCGGAACAAGGGCTAATTCATCACCGAGAACAACTTGGGGCTGACACGGAAAGTCAGCGCTTCTTCAGGCACAGGGGAGCCAGCTAATTCTTCCAAGACCTTAGAGCACGTTATTTTTAGCTGGAAGTAACCACGGGCTGCTGAACACGAAGAGGACCTGTGAGAAGGTCTCGCTGTAGCAGCTCTGTGCTCCGTGTCCACCGGCAGAGCTGTCAGGGCCTTCGCATCTGACTCCCTGTGGCCATTCCTGTACAGACTACACACGCTTGGGTCACCCAAAGGAGATGAACAGTCCTTTCTAAATGCCCCTTTTCAAAGGATTTAGGGACAAACAAACAAAAGGGGGTATTTCTTGAGACAGAAAGGAGTCAGCAAAATTGCTTCAGTTTGCTCTGTGCTCTCCATGGAGATGGCAATGGTGTCCACATACAGCTCTGGTCTCCAAAGGCAGGAGGAAGGGATCTAGAAAGGAATGCTAAGCTGTTTTCTAAAGGATATATAAGAGGTTACTGGGACAGCCCAGAAAGAGCCAAGGGCAGCTGGACCCATGATGACAGAGCTGGTACTGGAGTCCTTGTACTCAACCCAAAGGCACAGCAGAGCAGCCCTCAAAACTGTGTGGTCACCACCAAGAGAAAGACTGAGTTAAGGGCCACTTTTCCCAAGGAGATGAACTAAGACTGACCTGGGTGGGATGGCTGAGTGCTATCGTGACTAGGAGACCTCACAGGAGTGCCCAGCCACACATGAACCCAACGATCTTCCCAAACCGACAGCTCCAGGACAAACTGCAGTTAAATAAGAGATTTATCTCGAGGTGTCTGATCTTTTCAGTGGTAAAAAGTGTCTCTGGGGCACAGAGGAGTGAAACCAGCATGGTGGGAGCTGCATCCTTGGGGCACAGCTGTGGCCTGAGCATTGGGCAGAGAAGGATACAGGGACCATCTCAGACAACATCCAAGAAGGGCTTCAAGTGGCAGCAAAAGGAAAGAAATGACAGGTCAAGCTCCCAGCCAGGCTTTCTATCCAGGGCAAGGAAATCTTTGCAATGGTGAATTTGGCTCTCTGAATCCCAGCCCTTTGCTGAGCTCAGCCACACTGGTTGCAGAACCACCCCCAGGGCACAGAGATAAGAAAGCTGTTGTCACCTCAGGATTAGTGGGGTTTAAAATAAGCCAGAGAAAGGCCTTTATAAGGGAACAAACCCAGTGCAGCAGTGTCCCTGCTCTCAGTTACAGCCCCAGGGACTGTTCCCTGCCTTGCCCTTGTCCCCTGTGAGACATCACGTCTTCTGCAGGTCAGTAAAAGATGTGCAGGTGTTAATCCAGGCTGTCCCCAGGTTCTTCTGCTGTGAGATTGAGGTAAAGATCCCAGTACATGCCATTCACTTAAGAGTTGGACTCGATGATCCTTGTGGGTCCCTTCCAGCTCAGAATGCTCTGTGATTCTGGCAGGAGGCAAACCCACCTGTGCTCACCTTGACTCGGGGAGAAGGAGAAGGGATCAGCAAATCAGAGGCAGGACTTGGCCTGCTGACGTTTGGATACAGCAGGTAGCAGGGCTTAGGTGGAGAAAAATGTTCTTTAATCATCATCTTTTACTTTATCTCAATTAACTCTGTTATGCTAATACAGTGTTACTGATTAAAGACCCTAAGCTCCCCTGTAATAGTCCTGAATTACTGTCAGGATAATGAGATTTCCATTTCTAAACGTCCTGTGCCTGCCATCCAAATCACATCTGCATTCATGTACATGCCCAACACGAATTATTCTCCCAACATTTACATCAAACATCCTTCCTGCATCAAAAACACTCAGTTGGAAACAGCTTTCCCCTGGTTTAGAGCTCAGCTCAGGACTATTATTATCAGCCCTGTGTTGTTACTGCTGTGTGTTTAAGCGGGTGTTGAAGGACGTTGGCAACACTTGGTGCACAAGGCTGAGCTCTGAGGGGTGTGGGACAGGAGGTGACACTGGATGAGCCATTTTATTAATCATGTCTAATATCTCCTTCTTGCACCAAGTACAGTAATGATATCACACCCAGCCATGGTTAAGCATCACATTGCTGTTTCTAGCCAGGACAGAGGCAACAGACAACAGCAGTGTCACCATAAAAGTGAGGGCAGCAAAGAAAATGATTGCCAGGATGTCTGACAGGGAAGCCACCACCCTGGTCACAGCACTTGGTACAGCCAGGTGACAATCCCAGCTCTGGATCTGAACCTCAGCACAGCCCATCCAGTGAGAGCTTGTTTTAGGATGAGGCTGCTGTGTTGACTTGAGCTTTAGATGACCTCTTGTGATGCCACCTCCATTAATACACTCAGCTCAGCCTGCCAGGTTACCCGGTGGCACAGCACCCTCCAGGAGGAATCCCCTGCCTTGGCCAACTCGATTTTATTCAGATTTAATTTTGTTTCAACTCCCTCATTCCAAATAAGGAGCAAAATTTTTTTGCTATGATTTATGATGTATTAAATGTTAAAAAGATAGTGGCCATTATTAGTGACATTTAAGTCTTTCCTATCTGTAAGGTAGCCTAAAATTAGGTCCAAGTTTCAAGGAAACCTTCTACACTGTGATCTCAAGATACCAGCAAGAGGCCAAACACGTTACACATCCTCTTTTATGGTCTCACAGTATTAGCCCAATTTGCAGAACAAACACATTCAACCCTCAGCCCCTGTGCTGTGACCCATGGATAACCCAGCTAATAGGATTGACACTTCTGACCAGCAGGCACAAAACTCCTGCGGAATTCGACGGGAGCGGCTCCACCCCCCGCGTCCTTCCCGCAAACCCTCTGCCAGCGCCTCCTCTGAAAGGCACTTGCAGCCCAAGCCAGGGGGGCCTGAGCCCCAGTAATGCCTGAGCCACCCCCAGGACCAAGGAGCTCTGAGGTGCCTTTTTTTTTGGCTTTAGCAAAGGTGTAAATGACTTTTTTTTGCACTGATAACTTGTGCAGCCACCCTGAAGGCTCCATGGAGTGAGGAAGTCGTATCCTTATGTTTTATACAGTTTATACTATTTTGCAGTTCTCCTCAAGTAATGTATGTGAGCTTCACTTGGATTTTGGTGTTAAACCTTCAAGTTACCAACATTTGCCATCAAAATGAGAACCTCAGCATGAGGTTCTCTCCTTCTTTCCTTTCTTCCTAAAGGCAGCATTAGATTATTGTATCTAGAGGCTGTTACAGGGAAAACTGTACAAGCACTGAAGCTGGAATAATGTTTGATCCTTGTCCTCACATGGAGAAACTGGTGGTCTATAGATTTCTCTGACTTTATATCTTTATGACGCTGGTAAGAGGATTTCCATCTGTTTTATGAGAATCTGGGGTTTCCCTGAAAGGTATGAGGGGATCCAGACAGAGGTTTTATTCTGTTTTAAAGACAGAGTCACAGAATAGCCAGAGTTGGGAGGGATCCACAAGGATCATCCAGTCCAACTCCTGGCCCTGCATAATCCCAACAATCCCACCCTGTCCCTCAGAGCGTTGTCCAAACCCTCCTGGAGCTCTGGCAGCCTTGGGGCTGTGCCCACTGCCCTGGGGAGCCTGGTCAGTGCCCAACCACCCTCTGGGGGAAGAACCTTTTCCTAATAACATGTCCTTAATTCCCCTGGACTGCTGCATGACAGCAGTGGGGTTGGGAAGGGAGATCTCCACTCCAGGGCAAGACTACTGCCTGCACTCAATCGAGACAGCCATATTATTATTATTATTATAGTTATTATTGTTGTTGTTATTGTTGTTATTATTATTATTATAAAAGGAAGCTTGATTTATAGTCCTTATTCTAATCTGAGGAACAGAGCTGGCATAGTGACAAAGGACACAAATCACTAAGCAGCTTTAGGCACTGAGTTGAACATGATAACTACTAAACTCACTTAGTAGAAGCTCATGCTGATGTTAGTCCCATTATCAGAGCTGCAGTCACTGGGATCAGGAATTAGTTTTTAAAATACAGAGTTTTTTCTTCCTATAGGCTGGCTTGAAAGGCAACTGCTGCCCCTACAGGAAAACTGAGAAAATCCAGCCTAGGAAAGAAACTTGTGCCCTCCCCGGGTGCCAGCACCAGAGGAGGACAAAATCCCCAAACCATTTGGCAATGGCAGTTCCCAGAACCATGTGAGGTGAAGGACAAATACAGGGTGTGACCTGAAAAGGCCTCTGGGCTCAGCTCCCAGGACGGAGCAGGAAGGAGAGCTGTCACTGTGTGACATCTCTGGGCTCAGCACAGACCACACAGAGCTTGACTAGGAGCCTCCACGTGTCCTTTGGCTCCTGCTGCTTGGACGCCGTGGAGGTGACATTGTCTGGAGCTCAGTGGCCTTGCACAGGAC